AACGCTATGTTAAGTGGTTTTGAACTATATCCTCGTTGGGTGCCCCTGACCGGGTGGCTCTTGCGCCGGCACCAAACCCTTGCCGGATTGGGTTTCTCTTCACACATAAGAACGGTGATTTCGTCGCGATTTCTCATCGAGCAAAGCTGTCCCAGACCGATCTCGAAAGTGGACAGTCACATTTCGGATCATGAGTTCTGAGCCATATGCACTTAAGGAGACCCACTAAGTAAAATGAAGGCAAATTCACATGCAAAACTGGTAATTGTCTACTAATTATTTACTTCATATTTTAATTTTTTTAAAACAACCCCCAAATCCAATATTTTCCCATTTTCCCAAAATTTTAAACATCCCCCTTCCTGAATTTAATACATTAAAAACATCCGAAAAATCATCAAACATTTCATAAATAATTAGTCTAGATGTATAAGAAAAAGAGTGGAAATCAACGAAAAATAATGCTTTTAACCCTTTTAGCCCTAAGAGTGATCAGCGTCAAATTTCTCCATGCAATTTCACTGCTTTATAAAAACAGAGCGGTCATGAGAATTAAGGACATGACCACACAAGATGAATGTAATTGACACTTCAACAAATTCTCCTCACTACTTCTATTGAAAACGGATTGGGATAACAAATGAGAATGTGAATTTTGATGTTAGGGTTCGGGTTAACCGTACTGCCTCCTTAAGTACACTGTGGATAAGTATTTGGACGGTGGCGGAAGTGAATAAGTAGGAACGAGGACAGGAACCCAATATGACGGAGCTGAAGATTCAGAAGTGAGGATTAAGCGCATCAAACCCTCTCTGCCAACCACTGTAGCACATTATTTGATGTGCCGTAAGCGACTTGTTCCTGTCCCGTGCCGTCATTAGGGACCTTAAGATCCGAGGACGGCGACGGCAGAGAAAACGTCGCTGAAAAAGTGAGTTCGTGTTCTTTCAATCTTCATCGTGATTACTCCAAGTCACTAACTTTTTCAAATGTAGGCGAACCATCCTAAAGTTGAATTCCTAAGAACTATAGCCAAGTGCAGAAAGAGAGAGGAAATTTCGTCGTCGCTTGTGTACTTCCTCTGTACAACTTGAAATTAGGCGTTTTCACGTCGTAGTCGTGCAGTGACGAGAAAGAAATGTACAAAAAAACGTGATGCACGTGCAAAGGTTATTGAACCTATGGCTTTTTTGACGTTCTCGTTGCCGGCGCCGTCGTCGGATCTTAAGGTCCCCATAGTTCATATTATACCGTGTCTACACGAAAAAGCTTTACGGTATAGCGTAGACATAGATAACCTTAGACAACGACATGAGGACACAAGTCAGGCCAGAAAGAGGTTGCAGGGTTTGGGTGGCCACTTCTCTCTTTTTTAAAAAATGTTTTGTCTAAAAAGCGTTACCTGTTGACTTTCTAACCACAGTCAGAAATTTTATTCACAATGCAAGCTTCGATCCACCTCATATGAGGCAACAAGGGGAGCGAAAGCGAAAGCGAAAGAAAGCCTTTCACTCGTCCGGCAAACCTCTGCTTAAGTCTACGTATGTTGATCGTGCAGGAGGATATCGGCTTTCAGCGCAAGACTTTTAATTTCTTGTTTACAGGAAGTGTAATATGTGGTGCCGATACCAGCCTTACATCGTGTAACAAGGAGGGAGCAAGGACCCTGCTATTAGAGTCAATCTAGCTACCACTGTGCTACTTTTTGTCTCTAAGGAAAAATAACGTTTGGGTCGCCGGATGCCGAATTCCCAGGGGGTCCCGTCCGTCCTGCAGGGCAACAACAACTCATAACACATTTAAAATGCTATACTTACATTGACGTCCATTTTGTCCTTTTTATAATCCTGAACGATAAAGAAAATTAATTTGTCATATAAGATGTCCACACCTTGCAAAGTATGAATGTTCCTTGACAGCTCTTGACTAAGAGAGCACTTTACCACTCGATAAAAGTTTTCAACTCAGCTTGCCAGGCGTCTCTTGAACTGAGGAACACATCTAAAAAAGATTTTTAGTCTTTTTTATTTTGAACTTACAAATCAAGGAAAAACAAACGTTTTGCATAATATTTGCTGCAAGGACAATGTTATCGGGCAAATTATCGACAATTTCTTCCGTTACTTTGTTGACATCCCTTTGTATTGTGATGGAAATGGCTTCTCTGCAGTGATATCATAATGCCATGGTTACAATGGCCTTCTCGATTTTATAAGTGTTCTTTTGTAGCTGTACTTTGATATTGTTACATTGAGTTTCCTTAGGAATAATATATAAACACTGCAATAAAAAGGGTTCAGTTTAAAGGCTTTTAGCTTCTAAATAATCCCGGGTAAATAATGTTCTGGTGCCAATATGTTCTAATGTTTAATAAACAATTAAAACCTATACATTAGTTTTTCATGAAATAACTAAGCTGGTACGCGCGTTCTGATTGGTTAAAAACTAACAAAGCTTGTAAATCACTCGCCTTAGGATCGTGATTGAGAAGCTTTTCTCGTGTTCTCCCAATATCCCGCGTGGGTTAAATACATATTTAAAAACTAAGCTTCATAGCAGAACCCAGCGCATTAAGATTAAAGACTTTTTTTCTCATATTTCTAAAGTCATACAAAAACAATCAGTTGTACAACGATTACGACATAAAACCATCACTTACAGCATGTTTCCTTGTCGACTAATATCATGTTAATATGCTATGCAATTTGCTAAAACAACAAAGAAATTCAAAACTCCTAACAGAGCTTAAAGACTTTTTCCTTTGAAGAAGACATTTCCCAGCTGACAGCATAGCAAGGTTGGTCGCTTGGCAAACTGAACATTCTGGCAAGGCGTGAACTGCTGAATGGTCATGCTGTACAAACACCTTGATGTCCCAATATCGTCGACCAAAAATAATGAAAATATGGGCTTCCCAACGTTGCTGTCTAACACTGAACACTGGAGCCTCATCCTGCCTCATTGATTATTATTCTTTAAGTTCATCTAAACGTGCCAACAGAGTAGACCATCAACTGCTGGACAGCGATGTTTGAAAGGCATTTGAAAGTCCTACAGCTTTTTACTGGAGAACCACTGAACGATGGCAGTGTTTGCAGGGCAGAAAACGTCCAACGCTGGTTACTAACAACTACTGGATGGAGTTTTCGTGCACTTAAAGATCTCAGCTCTGTGAACTAAAAGCGGACTTGTGGCAACCTTGGAAACGCATTTTAACATCTTGACACTGTTGAACATCAACAAGTGACTATTGGAAGCCTATTTAAACTTTCCAGCAACAACTTCTGTAGGGCTTTGTTGGAAAACCGGGCATCCAAACTTCCTAACATTTTTGGGTTCTGAACGTGTGGATGACGCTAAATTAAACGCTTAACTTCTAAATGGCAATGTTGGAAACGTGTCTAAACGTCCCATTAATACTGTTGAACAACTTATGGACGGCAACTTGTCAGATCCGCTTCTAAACGTACCGGCATTGTTGACCATCGACTTATGGATGGCAATGTCAGAAGCACATCTAACTGTCCCAGCATTGCCATCAAGTTCTGGATGGTTATGTCGGTAGCACATCTATTCGTCCCGCCATTGTTAGCCATCCACGTCTGAATGGCATTGTTGGAAATGCGTGTAAACGTCCCAAATACTGTTGCACAACAACTTGTAGACGACAACTTGTCAGATACGCATCTAAACGTACCGGCATTGTTGACCATCGACTTATGAATGGCAATGCCAGAAGCAAATCTACTTGTCCTAGCATTGTTAGCCTTCAAATTCTGGATAGCAATGTTGGAAACGCGTCTAAACGTCCCAGCATTGTTGGTAATCAACTGCTACATGGCAATATTGCAAACGCGTTTAAAACGTCCCAGCATTGTTGGCAATCAACTGCTTCATGGCAATATTGGAAACGCGTTTAAACGTCCCAGCAGTGTTGGCCATCAACTGCTACATGGCAATTTTGGAAACGCGTTTAAACGTTCCAGCATTGTTGGCAATCAACTGCTACATGGCAATATTGGAAACGCGTTTAACGTCCCAGCATTGTTGGCAATCAACTGCTTCATGGCAATATTGGAAACGCGTTTAAACGTCCCAGCAGTGTTGGCCATCAACTACTACATGGCAATTTTGGAAACGCGTCTAAACGTCCCAGCATTGTTAGCCATCAACTCCTGGATGGCAATGTTGAAAACGCGTCTAAGAAATCCTAAATATTGTTGAACAACAACCTGTGGACGGCAACTTGTCAGATGTACATCTAAACGTACCACATTGTTGGCCATCAAAGTCGGGATGGCAATGTTGGAAACGGGTCTAAGAAATCCCAAATTTGTTGAACAACAACCTGTGGACGGCAACTTGTCAGATGCACGTCTAAACGTACCAGCATTGTTGGCCATCAAAGTCTGGATGGCAATGTTGGAAACGCGTCTAAGAAATCCCAAATATTTTTGAACAACAACCTGTGGACGGCAACTTGTCAGATGTACATCTAAACGTCCCAGCATTGTTAGCCATCAACTCCTGGATGGCAATGTTGAAAACGCGTCTAAGAAATCCCAAATATTGTTGAACAACAACCTGTGGACGGCAACTTGTCAGATGTACATCTAAACGTACCAGCATTGTTGGCCATCAAAGTCTTGATGGCAATGTTGGAAGCACGTCTAAGAAATCCCAAATATTGTTGAACAACAACCTGTGGACGGCAACTTGTCAGATGCACGTCTAAACGTACCAGCATTGTTGGCCATCAAAGTCTGGATGGCAATGTTGGAAACGGGTCTAAGCGTCCCAAATACTGTTGACCAACAATCCATGGATGGCAAATTGTCAGACGCACATCTAAACGTACCAACATTGTTGGTCATCGACTTACCAATGGCAAAGTCAGGCTTATGCACTCAACACTGATGTCCAACAAAAACTTACACTTTCATCAAATTGTTGGTGTTGAAGAATATTTTCTTTTGTAAATGAAGACAATAATGTAAAAGCTCTTCCTCTTTATTAAGTTACTTATTTACAATTTATATAAATCTCTCTTATTCGCTTCTAACACCAAAAGCATTTTGCACAATAACTCTCTGACTCTTTGGGATAAAACAATGAATTTTGTTTTAAGTCTCGATGTGGACGTAAGAATATGTTTCCCTAAACCAACGATGGTTGTGACACAGAGAAGTTGCGAGAAATGTCTCAAACAGAACCGATTTTATACCCATTCTACTGTCTCAAGATAAACCTTTACAAGTTCAGCAACGTCTGGATACCCCTATCACTCCCAAGGCAAAATGATGGCTTAGGGGAGGGTTAGATGGGCAGTTTCCCAGAAACGTATAATGATCCCAAAAGATTCGCCATATTTCCAAATTCCATTGAAAAACCAATAGTAGTACTAACTCTACCATGTGAAAGTACAGCTGAAGAGAATTGATTTAACCCTTTAAGCCCCATTATCCACATAAAAATTCTCCAAACTGATCTCCATACATTTCCTTACAGAATTAGTTGAGAGAAGTTGATAATAGATCAAGGCATTTTCTCTTGCGTGATCATTTTATCAATTCTCATAACTTATCTTATGAAAGTGTATGGATATTGTTAGGAGAAAAGTGATCTTGATCACTATTGGGATTTAAAGGGTTAAATGGTTACACCACAGGATTTCATCCACAAAATCACAAGTTAGAACTACATACTAAATAAATAGTACCATGTGAAAGTACTGCTAAAGAGGTTTCATTTGAATGGTTTCACCATAGGATCTCACTAGCAGATTTGGAAGTTAGCACCACCTTACAAGACTCCCATCATTCACTGAGAGAGTGAGAGGGATAATGTCCCGGGGAGACTCCCATATAAAAGTGACGGGGATGCCCATGCGAAAATATAAATTAACCCCTAAGGGAGACCAATGCAGGTGTGGCTCAAGCTCTAACTGACCTCCCAGGGAGATTTCTGTGTGGTCAGTGTTAGGGCATTTTTTGTAAGTTTCTTTGTGCACAGTACTAAGCGATACCTGAATGTGCAAATATAGTGCCCCTTCCATCCCACACGCCCTAAGGAAGACCAAAATCTGCAATTTACACCCCAAAGCGAGACGACGAGCATCCCCGTCACTTTAATATTGGTGTCCCCCCCCCTCCTCCGGGGATAATGTATCACAACCACAAGAAATAAGCGCCAGGTTAGGGAATCATCTCAAAAAATCACTTTAACCATTAATAAGTTCAGTATTTTTCTTCCACGAGTCATAACTTGGTGAACTCTCAATAAATGGAGAAGAAAGAAGGCAACATGTCTTTCCTGTTTAAAAAAACGTTATTGTAACAGGAACTGTCCAGTTGAGCTCAATAAGACAGCTGAATAAAAAGACTAGTGACATGTATTCACGGGGTTGGTATTGAATTTAAGTAAATATATTCACCAACAAACGCGATATGGTTTTGTTAACATTTGAACGCACAAAGGGATAATTAGAGGGCCTTTCCTTTTAAAGGCTACCTCTATCAATTTTCAAATAACACTTGGCATCTTAAATATCAACTCTGATAGGCAAAGCACCAAAAGGTGCCCACAGGGAATATAATGAAATAAAAGTACTGTAAAAGCCAGGGACCTTTACCCTTAAACGGCAACCTTAACAGATATCAAAAAAGATAAACTAAATGTGCTGGGTTCAGCTGATATTATTACTATTATTAGGCCAATTTTAAATTCATAGTGGTTCAGAGACTTGAAACAAATACAAATGAATCATTTAACCCTGAACCTAAACGTGATTCCTCAGAGCCACTAAGAGTGTTATCCCAATCACTGCCATAAGTGGCCAAAGTCAAAATTCCACAAAATTTCCAAATTTCATTTTGCACAATTCTGAAAAACAAATGTCACCATGTGACAGAACCGCCAAAGACGTTTCTCATTTGAATGGTAACACCGCAGGATTTTGTCCACAAACTCAAAAGTTAGAACTACATACTAAATAAATAGCACCATGTGAAAGTACTGCTGAAGAGGTTCCATTTGAATGGTCACACCACGGAATTTTGTCCCTAGACACAAAAGTTAGAAAAAAATACTAAATAAAAACACCCTCCAAAGAGGTTTTATTTCAATGGTCACAGTGCAGGATTCTGTCCACAAAAGTAGACTTGCCACAAGTTGACTGCATGAGTGCCAAAGACGCAAGGGACGCTAACAAAGCGAGCAAAAGCAAGCGAGCAATGCAAGTCGGAAACAGGCTTTGAGAAAGTAAAAACGTTAGAACCAGCTTAGGAGTCTGGCAGTGAAAGGGTTAACACATCAAAATCAGCCTATTCAACTTACCGTTTATCTTTGCATAAAAGCGTTTTTCACTACTATTTTAAGTCAAACTACACATTAATTTGCCATGTAAATTTTGACAAAAAACAGTGTCCCTGGCTTCAACGTTTTCCACTCATTTCTCATGGTAATTAGGAGGTGAATAAAGGACTTCACCTTGATTTGAACCCTGGCCTAGTAGAAATAGAGGTTTGAGTTACAATCTTAACTACTATTCACGTTATGCTGTCGCAGGATGCTCCTGAAATTTAAACCATCACTATTGCTTTCATCAGAGGATCGACTGTTAGCTTCATTGGAAGTCAGGGAAGGGAACGTTAGCTCAGTAGGGGTTGCTTTGCTGCTGTTTTCTCCAACAATTTCCTTTGTAAGATCTTGGAATTTCCTGACAAAGTCAACACTGTTTTCATCCATCATTACTTGCAAGGCTGTCTCCGCCTGTAAAAGAACATAAAATAAAAGGTTACCAGCTTTACAAATTTACCAATATTTGGTTAAGTAAAGTTCTTCCCTGCTATTCTTCAATCTTTGATAACCCCTCCAACACTAGTGTTAGTTTATGCAGGGGGGCAAAAGGAATGGCCATCTTTCCATGATACAATGCTAAAGCAACATAAACAAGTTAAAGGTACATTAAAGAGTTATTGATAGCGTTACACTTACAATGCCATAGTCCTTCTGTACGACATGTAGGGGGCTCAAAATTATTTTTGCACGGCGGCTGGACACAATGACTGGCTTAAGAAATGTTTGCTCAGCCAAGTCTCGTTTCTGACCAGTCAAAATACTGGGGAAAAAAATTTCACTTATCCTTATTTTAATTTTCTATTTGTGAATGTGATTGTATTTTTACAAAGAGACAAAATCTAAGATTTACAGGTAAGGATTTGGCTGTTTTTTCTTCCAAGAATGAGAGTGTGAGTGACCAGTCAACATGACTGGTAAGTGAAGTTTTTGGCCGTTCATTTCATTGCTCTGAACAGACATTGGCTGCTGACCAGCCATTATTTTGAGCCTAGATGTATATTCTTGTATTTGTCTGTATGGGATGTCCCATCAGTGGAAGGTTTAACTATGCTGTGCAAGCAACTTGCACTACGACCAAATTGCTTTAGCCCAAAAATTAAAAAAAAAAGCTTTCATAAACCTTGGGTGGTTGTATGAACAGGGTTTCACTTTAGCAAAAAGCACTAAGAGCAAAAAAGCTTGTTATCCTAGGTCGGATCTTGTTTACAAAACATTTTGTTTGATTGTCCAAGCTATTCTTCAAAAAGAGATGTTAATTGTCTAAAATAGAGGCTAAAAGCCCAATAACTTGACAGAGCTTTAATACCATGCTAAAGTGGAGGATAGATCAAACATCAATAACAGCAAGTTTCCTTGTTTCACATCAGCTGTTAAGAGAAAAAGCCTGTTGCTATTTAAGCAATAGGAAATATTTTCCGTGTTTGCATAGCCTGATATAAACACGAGAGTGGTTGGGAGAATTCGAGACAGTTATACAAACCCGAGACGAAGTAACTGTCGAGAAATGTCTATATTATTAGTTGGTTTACCAAAAGCTGAAAATTCAACTATTAATTCAGGACACCAAACTTACATCTAGCAGGTGATGAGTACTGATCAAAGGGTCTTGAGATGGGTCCTTGAATGAACTTACTCCATTTGTCTCCTGTAGACAACAACAAAGAATGATTTCAGCATGATTACCATAACAAGAGCCAAAAAATAATCATAGTCATGACTAAGAATATCAGGGCTGTCAATAAGGGTCAGTAGCCGGCCAAAACTGCCGGCTAGTTAGCCATCCTTAGCCGGCTACTTCATATCCTTCTACCATAACTGCTAACAAAAAATAAGCACCATCGAATAAAATTGTAAAGCATCTGTTGCCCATTTTTGAATGACATTGAACATATATTTAAACAGGTTTAGATCTGTGAAATGTTCTAACCGTGCGATGTTGTGGAACGCCTGGGACATTTTGACAGTGTCGTTCCCAGTCTTGTATTCGTGTGTGTATTCTGATGAAACAACATGGTGTCTGCAGGGGAAAATACCTCTTGAAGACTCCTGGAAATGGCATTTCCGAGACTAAATTTCAAAATGTCCCTAGATGCCTTGGCCCTCAGGAGCTTGTGGCTTTGGTGTGACTTCCAAAGCTGCCTACTATTCATTGTCAGCCTACTACCTAAAAACTTTTAGACAGCCCTGAGAATATTATGACACAATCAAGCTGCAGATGAAAGCGAGGTGACTCTCAGTCACAGTTAGATGTATTTGATCAACCCAATTTCACTTTTTATTACACGTACCACCACCACTACCAGCACTTATAGGTAACCTGTTAACCCTTTCATTCCTAATTACAGGGCGACTACTGTATCTGGGGCCACTAAGACAGCTGACCAATCGGATTACAGGAAAATAATAATAAATTCCAAGAAAGTTGGTTATGGGTCAATCAGCATCAATCAGCCTGATGGGTCACCTGGCTTGTGTGCAGACTTACTGTGTGTTCCTTTGGCATCAGGACATTTGTTTTTAGAATCAATAGAGAGCTTATTTATATGTAAGTTTGGTAGAAGATACTACCATTCTTCTTACCTCAAAGCAAACTGACTTGTCTTCTTTTCTTGGTGATGTGCTTAATTTGTCTTTTGGAACAAATGTCATGAGAAAAAAAATCAGTAAGAAACATTCATCATTATTATTGAACAAGAAACTAGTAAGCTCTGTAGTGTGGTTACTGCTTTCAAAATACAGAACAATTTCCTTGCTGAAAGAGGCCTCTTTTCCCTGGTATTCGGCAAACAGGAAGAAAAGAGAAGTAATGGTTCAGCCTACAAGCAACTGCGGTACATGCTCAACAAAGTCCATTTGAGCCTACGGCAAATGAAAGATCTCTTTCTTTTTCATCTGCTGAATACCTGGGAAAAGAGGTCTCTGCCAGGAAGGAATAGAGCAATATCTAAATTATGTGTAACTTGTATTAATTTGATCCCAGTAAAACTAAAAACGAAGTGTAGAAAAATGTATCTCTTTTAACATTGCCAGTGTAATCAACTTTAAATTTAAAAAAAAAAAACAGAAGAAAAACATTTCAACTGCAAATCAGTTTAAGAGCTATTACAATTCACCATTTCAATGAAATTTTGAAGTCAACATGTTCATGCTGACCCATGTATATGCACAACATTTTGGAAGAAGTAAAGAAGAACTCACAAGAAAGCTTGTTTGCTGACTATTGGAAAACTGTCAGCCAACAACTGGCCTGCTGTAGGCCGACTATTGGCTAACTGATGTCCAACAAGCTGCAACAGTGGAATGGCAGTTGGTTACTTAAAAGACAACAGCAGACAAACATTTCTGGCTCACTGTGGATATATTGTTAACTGTCTCTTAGATTATCTTCAGACTTAACAGACTTGTTGGCTTCATGAATACTGTTTGGCCAACAAGTTTTTAGATGATTTTCAGACATTACAGACTTGTTGGCTACATGAATAATGTTGGCAAACACGTTTTTGGGAGCTGTTCTTCACTTTAACCCAACACATATTTTGAGACAACATTTCTTACCTAATAGGCTGCCTATAGAAAAGTTTGAGGGCTGTATAACAAAGAGAAAAAATAGCATAAATAAATAAATAATACGAAATAGAAAGTAAAAAAAGGTTAGAATTGAAACTGTTTTAAATACTACACACTGTAAAATATTATTGGATTGAATGTTATAATCTTCCAAAAATGTAGATGTATGTTCTTAAGTTCTGACATATATCAGAAAAAAGCTTAATTTTCAGAAGACAAAAATCTTGTACCAGAATATTTTAAGCCATATTGCATTTTTTTTACACTTTTCAAGTTGGAGTTCTAAAAATGTAATAAGTTATATGAAATAACTCCAAAGAAAAGGTTCTTATGGGAGCCCAAGAAAATAAATTTTAAATTTCACAGGAATTGAGAAAACACAGGTAAAATCGTGTGAAAGGTTTGAACCTAGGAGTCATTTCAAAAGTAGGTTGAGTTTGATCGTCCGAGTGAACGTTGTCCTGAATAGGACTGTTGTTGTTGACAGTGACTGACGTTTCGACAACCTGTGCGGTAGTCATCTTCAGTGTCAAAGTGAGTTGTATCATGTCAGTTGATGGTATTGTACTCTGGTTATTGGTCTGATTGGTCAATTACATTGCAATGTTATTGGTCATCAGTAATTGGTGCATTGCGATCCATCTATTGTCACAGTTAAATTAGTCAAATTGTTAGTCAAATTGTCAGTTCTCCAGTCGTTCTCTCGTAGTTAGTTTTGCTAAGGTAAAATCATCATGCGTTAGATTTCATTTTGTAAAATTTGAAGCTTTTGAAGTTTGTTATCCCATAAGAACTTTTCTTTGGAGTTATTTCATAACTTATTACATAAACCCTTTAAGCTCCAATATCCAAATAATAATTCTCCAAACCAATCTCCATACATTTCCTTATATTAGTTGAGAGAATTTGTTTGAAGATCAAACAAAGTTCATTATAAGTCTATTCTAATAAGACTTAAAGGCTTGAACTGTTTGCTCCACCAACTTCTCTACATTTTTCAGTTGACCGGTCTTAAATTGATAGTTAATTATTGCATAAGACATAGAGCACTTTAAGTAAATAACCTTTAAATTCTCTGAGCTATGATTTATATTGTCTTGGACAACAGAAAAGCATAAAAAAACTCTTTCCAGGCCACTACCTTCAAAGTTGAAGAAAATTCAAGGCCTTTCAAAGACTTGCACAGAAATTTAAGGACTTTTCAAGGACTTCCCCTAAAATTCAAGGACTTTTCAAGACTGTGCAAACCCTGTCAAAGCATTTTCTGTCACCTGATCAATTTATTAATTCGTGCAACATTTCCTCTTTATTTGACATCGTTAGAAGAATATTCATTTTGGTCACTCATGGGACTTTAGGGTTAATAGCCCTTGAAAAAGTAAAAAGGAATGCAATATGATTGGAATCATTCTGGTCAAAGATTTTTGTCCAGTAAAAATTAAAATTACTCAAGTAGGGGTTGCTTTGCTGCTGTTTTCTCCAACAATTTCCTTTGTAAGATCTTGGAATTTCCTGACAAAGTCAACACTGTTTTCATCCATCATTACTTGCAAGGCTGTCTCCGCCTGTAAAAGAACATAAATAATATATTTCTTTAAGTAAAGTTCATCCCTGCTATTCTTCAATCTTTGATAACCCCTCCAACACTAGTGTTAGTTTATGCAGGGGGAGCAAAAGGAATGGCCATCTCTCCATGATACAATGCTAAAGCAACACAAACAAGTTAAAGGTGCATTAAAGAGTTATTGATAGCATTACACTTACAATGCCATAGTCCTACTGTACTATATGTAGAGGGTTCAAAATTATTTTTGGACGGTGGCTGGACACAACGACTGGCTTAAGAAATTTTTGCTCAGCCAAGTCTCGTTTCGGACCAGTCAAAAAACTGGGGAAAAAAAATTCACTTATCCTTATTTTAATTTTCTATTTGTGAATGTGATTGTATTTTTATTATTTAAATTCAACTATTAATTCAGGACACCAAACTTACATCTAGCAAGTGATGAGTACTGATCAAAGGGTCTTGAGATGGGTCCTTGAATGAGCTTACTCCATTTGTCTCCTGTAGACAACAACAAAGAATGATTTCAGCACGATCACCATGACAAAAGCCAAAAAAATAATTACAGTCATAACTAAGAATATCAGGGCTGTCAATAAGGGCCTGTAGCCGGCCAAAACCGCTGGCTAGTTAGCCATCCTTAGCCAGCTACTTTCATATCCTTCTACCATAACTGCTAACAAAAACTAAGCACCATCGAATAAAATTGTAAAGCAACTGTTTCCCAGTTTTGAATGACACTGAACGTATATTTAAACAGGTTTAGATCTGTGAAATGTTTGAACCGTGCAATGTCGTGGAACACCTGGGACATTTCGACAGCATTGTTTGCATTCTTGCGTGTATTCTGACAAAACAACATGGTGTCTGTGGTGGAAAATACCTCTTGAAAACCCCCGGAAATGGCATTTCTGATACTCCAGATTTCAAAATGTCTTTAGATGCCTCGGCCCTCAAGAGATTGTGGCTTCGGTGCGAGTTCCAAAGCCACCTACGATTTATTATCAGCCTACTACTTAAAAACTGACAGCCCTAAGCTACAGGTGAAAGTGAAGTAATTCTCAGTGACAGATATATTTGATCAACCCAATTTCATTTTATATCACATGTACCACCACCACTACCAGCACTTACATGTACATGTAACCTGTTAACCCTTTCATTCCTAATTACAGGGTGACTACTGTATCTGGGGCCACTAAAACAGAGTTGACTGATCGGATTACAGGAAAATAATAATACATTCCAAGAAAGTTGTTTGTGGGCCAATCAGCATCAATCACTTCTTGCTTTGAAAAACAGGGATCAGATCCAGCAGGATGGGTCACCTGGCTTGTATGCAGACTTACTGTGTGTTCCTTTGGTATCAGGACGTTTGTTTTGAGAATCAATAGAGAGCTTATTTATATGTATGTTTGGTAGAAGATACTACCATTCTTCTTACCTCAAAGCAAACTGGCTTGTCGTCTTTTCTTGGTGATGTACTTAATTTGTCTTTTGGAATAAATGTGATGAGAGAAAAAAATCAGTAAGAATTATTTATCATTATTATTGAACAAAACCTCAGTAAGCTCTGTAGTGTGGTTTAAGTATAGAACAATTTCCCTGTTGCCAGAGACCACTTTTGCCTGGTATTCGGCAAGCGGGAGGAAAAGAGAAGTGATGGTTCGGCATCCAAGCAACCGCGGCACATACTCAACAAAGTCCATTTGGGCCCATGGCAAAGATCTCTTTTTTTTTCTCATCTGCTGAATACCTGGGAAAAGCGGCCTTTCCCAGGAAGGAATAGAGCAATATCTAAATATTTGCAAGTTGTGTTAATTTGATCCCAGTAAAACTAAAAACGAAGTGTAGAAGAATGCATCTCTTTTAACATTGCCAGTGTAATCAACTTAAAAATAAAAACAAACTTTTTCCCCAAAGCAGAAGAAAAACATTTCCACTGCACATCAGTTTAAGGGCTATTACAATTCAGCATTTCAATGAAATTTTGAAGGCAACATGTTCATGCTGACCCATGTATATACACAACATTTTGGAAGAAGTAAAGAAGGGCTCACAAAAAAGCTTGTTTGCTGACTATTGGAAAACTGTCAGCCAACAAATGGCCTGCTGTAGCCACACTATTGGCTAACTGATGTCCAACAAGCTGCAACAGTGGAATGGCAGTTGGTTACTTAAAAGACAACAGCAGACAAACATTTTTGGCTCACTGTGGATATAACTATTGTTAACTGTCTCTTAGATTATCTTCAGACTTAACAGACTTGTTGGTTTCATGAATACTGTTGGCCAACAAGTTTTTAGAGGATTTTCAGACATTACAGACTTGTTGGCTACATGGATAATGTTGGCAAACACCTTTTTGGGAGCTGTTCTTCACTTTAACCCAACACATATTTTGAGACAACATTTCTTACCTAATAGGCTACCTAAAGAGAAGTTTGAGGGCTGCATAAAAAAACAAAAAAAATAGCAATAATAAGTAAATAACACAAAATAGAAAGTATAAAAAAAGGTTAGAATTGAAACTGCTTTAAATACCACACACTGTAAAATTGGATTGAATGTTATAATCTTCCAAAAATGCAGATGTATGTTCTTAAGTTCTGAAATATGTCAGAAAAAACCCTAAGATGGAATCCATCAAGAAACTGAGTAATTTTAATTTTCTGAGGACAAAAACCTTGTACCAGAATATTTTAAGCCATATTGCATTTTTTTTTCACACTTTTCAAGTTGGAGTTCTAAAAATGTAATAAGTTATATGAAACAACTCCAAAGAAAAGGTTCTTATGGGAGCCCGAGAAAATAAATTTTAAATTTCACTGGAATTGAGAAAACACAGGTAAAATCGTCAAGCGTAAGATTTCATTTTGTGAAACTTGAAGCTTTTGAAGTTCGTTATCCCATAAGAACATTTTCTTTGGAGTTATTTCATATAACTTATTACATTAACCCTTCAAGTTCCAATATCCAAATACTAATTCTCCAAACCAATCTCCATACATTTCCTTATATTAGTTGAGAGAATTTGTTTGAAGATGAAACAAAGTTCATACAAAAAATTGCAACCAGTTTTCAAGGACTTTTCAAGCACTTTTCAAGGACCACATTAAATTTTCAAGGACCACCTACTAGGAATGTAACTTCACAGACTGTATGAAAATGCATATTCCCAGTCAACTTCTCTAAATTTTTCAGTTCACTGGTCTTAAATTGATAGTTAATTATTGCATAAAACATAGAGCACTTTAAGTAAATAACCTTTAAATTCACTCAGCTATGATTTATATTCTGTCTTGGACAACCGAAAAGCATAAAAAACTCTTTCCAGGCCACTACATTCAAAGTTGAAGAAAATTCAAGGACTTTTCAAGAACTTGCACAGAAATTTAAGCACTTTTCAAGGAAAAATGGAATTCAAGGACTTTTCAAGGACTTCCCCTAAAATTCAACGACTTTTCAAGACTGTACGAACCCTGTCAAAGCACTTTCTGTCACCTGATCAATTTATTAATTCTTGCAACATTTCCTCTTTATTGCGTATTGACATCATTAGAAGAATATTCATTTTGGTCACTCGTGGGACTTAAAGGGTTAATAGCCCTTGAAAAAAGTAAAAAACAATGCAATATGATTGAAATCATTCTAGTAAAAGATTTTTGTCCACTGAAAATTAAAATTACTCAATTTCCTAATGGATTCCATCTTAACCAGTTTCCAATAAAAGTAGAACAAATAGTAAATATTATGTACATGACCCAAATACTTTGGTTTCTTATCCTCTTTCTTGCCCTGCAGGTCATTACAGTCAACTCCCTTTAAAGCGGACACTCTAGGGACATTGAGTTAGTGTCCTCATTAGCGAGAAGCTGTAATAGCAGGAGTTTTTTTCAGTCAAATGGGCATAATAAATTTTTTTGCCATGGATTTAGCTGCTGTCCGTATTATTAGGGTGTCCATTATAGAGAGGTGTCTGCAAGGTGAAAGTTAACTGTAGAATCTATTTTTGCCTAATAATATCAAATTAAGACGTTGTAAGAGTTAGGGAGGTTAAAGATCACCAAAGATACTAAGTGTATTTTTTAAACAGATTCTTTATACATTGTAAGTACTGTTTAAGAAAAGAAGGAAGACCGATGCATAGAAAACCCATGTTCATGTGAAGGCTTTGACGACTAAAATCGCCACTACAACTACTGTATTACCTCTCCATTGAGCCACTGTGGAGTGATTGAGGATGACAACAATGAAGACACTGGTGAAGCCTCTTTATCACCAAGTGCTTCTGGCTGGCTCTGTGAATCTACAATGCTACTTATGGGCTCTGTGATGCTGAAAAACACATCAGAAGCAGTAGAGACTGAACGCTGCCCTCTTTCTGAAACTGGATATAGAATATTTTCCAGTGTTGGACTGGTAATGCTCGAGGAAACACCAACACCAGCAATTCCAGAATTCAGCTCCTCTACATGCACTCCAGAAATGCTTAAAGCTGTGTCTGAGTCCACTGTTTTAATCGGCTGTGCTGTTAAGTCTAGATTTGAAGGTTTTAAATTCAAAAGAGAAGTTAGGTAAGATGAAGTTGAATCTTCATTAAGTCCTGTGATTGCCGTGGTTGTTTCACTGCCATCCAATGCTGTCCCTAGCGCAAGGCCAATGATGGAATCTACAGAATTTGATGTCATAGCAACATTATCAGTTGGTGATTTTGAACTACCCATAAACTGGTCCACAACTTCAAGAAGATCTGTTCCAGTAAATCCTGACATTTCCATATCCAGACTAGCAGAGGTTTCTCTTGAAAAGCCATTCTCTGCTGATGCCTTTCTCGTAGCTGTTTGAGGTGAAGAATTATCTGTTAAGTTTTTACGGTGATCAGAGCAACCTGCTGTGCCTGAAACAAAAGCACTTAAAGTCAAAATACCTCACAATGAATATATATACATGTAAGTACTAAGCTTATAACTTCCCAATTTACTAAACTAAACATTATAAGGCACACTTGTGTCCTTTGCAAAGGAAAAAAAACTAAATCACCAGTACTTGACGTTTCTAGTGAGTGGGGCAATAAGAGCAGAATACTTCATGGACCACAACAACGACTGCTACAAAGCCAACAAGACATTCTGAAATTGTGTGCTTGGGACAATATCATGTAAATCTACTGTTACACAAAATTATAGCTATTAGCAGGAACTTGTGTTCATGTTAAAGAGGGAAGTAAAATGAACAAGTGATTAAACATATACACAAAAATAGACACCTGACTGTGTCTTGGATGACACTGTTGCTTTAGACTGAGATGTCATAGTTACTGATGATGTTTTGACACCTGCTGCAAGAATGGTACCTACAGTTTGCCCAGGCTGTGGAATAAAAGATACTGCAACTGCTCCAGGCGGAACAGAACTAGGACTAGCAACTGGACGTGGCAGAATATTTCTATGCACATTTGGTCTCTGATGTCGTTTCTGCATCCTGGGTACCTTGGGGCGTGTCTGGAGGTCAGAGAGAACAGTGTCACTTTTTGATGTCTGTGCAGTTGTTGTAACAACAGATGGTAGAATAAATGGGAGTTTGTGGTTCGTTTTAGTAGTAGGGCCTTTTGCCTTTGACCCTCCCTTTTCTTTTGCGGTAACTTCCTTGTCTGCTGGTTGTGAACTGCTCTTAGCAGATGCAGAGTTGGTAAGTTTTGAAGCTGCCTTAGAAACTCTGCTGTTCTCCTTTGTTTTGGTAAACTCTACTGTTGCCACATCCACAAGCTTTGACAGTGAAACTGCAACTTGTGAAGGTGCAAGATTGTCCTCAATGTCACGCCATGTATACTCCAGCTTTAACTTTGGTGGTCTTCCAAGTTTGCAAAAAATCTCTCCAAATGTAACATTTGCACATGTCTCTGAAGTCCAAAATTTAGGAGGGCCCTTATCGCAAGATACAGGTTTATCCTCCTTTGGCAATTGGGCAGTAGAGTTTGACGCCATTGTGGCACCATTACACATTTCAGAAGATTCTGATTTGTCAGTCTGACTGTTAGTAACAGTTGCACATTGAATTTGTCTCTCTGTAGGGTCACAAGATCTGTTACTTTCTTCAGTTAGTACAGTCTTTTCCTGGAGTTCTGTTAGTAAGATCCCTTGAAAACCAGAATCAGTAGCCCTAGAACATTTTTCTTCTACTAATGAAGATGGTGAATTATTTTGTGTTGTGTCTCCTCCTCTAATGGCATCGGGTGCAGGAACATTTTCAACTAAACATGTTTCAACTGATGATGCTTTGCACAGTGGAGACGCTGTCTGTTTTTCGGCGTCTGAGTTGATGTAAAAATCAGGTGGAATAACAATACACATGTCCAATGGTTCTAGAGTCTTATTAGATACAACACGCCACTTCTTTGACAGAAAATTGAGCATCAAACTTAATGGTTTCTTTGGAGGCATCGTTGTTCGTAACCTTGGGTTCTTAGACAACCTTTGTACTACAGCCCAAGCTGCATGATTATGTGGCAGAAACTCCAGTGTCAACTTATTTGGCAAAGAAAGGGACTGAGACTCACTTTCCTCCTTGCTCTGCCCTGCTGATGTCAGCCGTTTGAGGGCACGACACACAGGTGCTCTGATTTTGAAATTTCGTCCCTTACTGCGAATAGAAATTGTGCCATGACTGAGTAATTCTTCAAGTTTTTTTCCATGTTTGTCATTCCAGCCACAAGTTTTCTTACGTAACTCTCCATAACAAATCAATCCTTTTAATTCAATGACCGTTTTCTTGTGACTGTCATTTTCACTGAGTTGATCTGCTGGAAGATACTTTGTAATCTTATTTAGGGTACGATAATAAAAATGTCGCACTTGATCTTTGTTCTTAATCAGTGCTGGGGGGTCACCCCTTCGCTTGTGCTTTGTTGCGATAAAGTTACAGATCTTGTCAAAATCTTTTCCATACTCGTGTAAAGCCTCAAAAAATGTATCCTTTTCTGCTTTGCCCCACGATTCCCATTGTCTTTTAGGTGGTTTCTTCCTCCTGTTTGCCTGAGGTGATGATGAGTTTGGACCTCCTTCATTAGCACCATTACTGTCTGCAAAGAGTAAGTTAAAACCATTAAATAGTACGATCACTGGTGAAAAGATAATGAATAGTTTTGGTGAACAAGTGAAAAAGGCATGTTTATTTATTTACCAGCTTTTCTAGACACAGGCCTGCCCAGAGGGAACGTGCACGAACGGGACTCAGGTCCCATGCAAGGTGCCATCCCTACCCAATCCCACAACCCGTAAAGGTTAGCCACACCACCGTGGTCTACGACCCCTACTCTTTTCGAATAGGGATGTGGGTTCTTTTACGTTCCACAAGAACAAATCAGTGAAAGTGCTGTGAGACGGGACCTGCAATTTTTCGTCCTTATCCGAGAAGACTAGAAAGTCTAACCATTTGCAGATGTCATTACAAAGGCAGCACTTTCTTCTCACTTATTTAAAGACCCTGAGTGTTGGTCTGGCCGGGGTTTGAACCTGCGACCTCCCACTTGGCAGACCGGCGCTCTCCCAACTGAGCTAACCAGGCGGCGGTATGTTGTGATAACTTGGAAAATTGCAAATCTTACATGGTCAGGTGAGGTTGGTTTTTTCAAAAGGTTAACACTGATCAACAAATATTGAGAAAAGACAGGTTCTTCTTGCAAATGGTATTGTTATCCTTTTCTGTTTTCAAAGTTGCTTGCAAACTTGAGTAAACCACAGGCAGACTATCCAAACAGTTTGAGGCATCGTGATGTCACACATGACATGTGAAATACAGTAAATTTTACTGTATTTCGTAATGCCTGCTGTCAGCTTTTATTAAGTGATCAGGAGAAATGCCTCATTTAACACAGAAGATTGCAATTCTTGATCCAAAATGTTGATGTAAAGTAAGAAAGATGAATTAAGATTACTTACCATATGATATTAGTGTCGTCTGCTGCGTTTTTTTGGCGTTTTCAGTCGCTTGAAACAACCCCGACTAATACATGTATAATAAAACCTTACGGTTTTATTCAAGGCATCAAAAAATCATAAAATCACATGATTTTATTATGTATTAGTCGCAGGTATCAGTTTCAAGCAACTGAAAATGCAACAAAAATGCAGTAGACAACACTAAAATCATACGGTAAGTAATCTTTATTCATCTTTCTTACCTTACATCAACATTTGGGATCAAAAGGTGCTAACTTCTGTGTTTAATGAAGCATTTCTCCAGATCACTTAAATCAAGCCGAGAGCGGCCGTTACAAAATACAGTAAATGTATGAGTTCAAATGATGTGCGTGACATCACCATGCCTTGCACAGTTTGGATGGTCCCCCTGTGAGTAACCTAATTATATTTTTTAGGAATGTGATGGTGAATTTTAAGCCTGGTTAATGCACAAGAAAGATGCCAGTCAGTGACATGGGTGGCTCGGAAGAGCTCAGTGGTTAAGCATCTGGACTACTAATCAAAAAGATCATAGGATGGACTCCTATAAAAAGGGAGTAATAGTGCATTTTTTTTCCCAAGATGCCTGTGTCACTGACTGAAAAAAACATCTTTCTCATTGCTTCTATACTATTACATACTGCAGAGATCACATTTATGAAACTTCTGGGAATCATTAGCTGGGCATTGTAAATCATCCATCATGAGACGAGAGAGAGTGGGTTTTCAACAAATTACACTTCATGACAAGCCCTCAAAAATTACATCTTGCAAAATTTAAATAGCAAAAATTACTGTTTTCAAAAATTCTTAGAAATGTTTGAAATAAAACTGCTCCGTTCTGAAAAAAAAAAGAAGAATTATTGCTGCCCTTATGGCATTCAATCAAATTCATAAAGAAAGAGAAGCAGAAATTTAGTAAGAAAGAAAAAATATTTTGTGTGCTAGATTTGCAACGTGTAACACTTCCTACTACACCTACTTCAATCAATAAACAAAAGTCCTTCAAGCACAAAATTTTAACTGCCGTCATGTAATATTTTGAATTATATACGATAAGCGGTAAGAAAATGGAAAAATCTTAAATTTCTTAAAAAAGAAAAACATTTTTCGTACTCAACCAAAAGAGTGATGCACGTTCTCATGTTCTAATGACAATTTTGCATGCAAAGTCAAAATGGCCGTCGCGAAGTGAAAGTTGTTTATGGCCAAAGTAATAATTTTAGGTATCAAACCTTGGTTTCCTGCTTTACTTGACGAAGAGTTTGATGATTTTATTCTTTTAGCTGGTCTGGTACTGCTCCTTGTAGCAACACCGACAAAATTATTCGCAGTTTCATGAGCTGTAGCTAAGGTCGAATCCTTTGTTGTATCCGCATGGTCTTCTTGAGGTCGTTTCTTTGAAGCCTGTTTTTGCGAGCGTGTGTCATGCAAAACCTCAGGATCTTTAGCAGAAACTTCCCCTGTCAAATTTCCGACATTTTCGATCTGTTGAGCTGTACTATCTTGCTTGGATGGAGGCAAACCACCGGCAGTCATCCTAGGAGATCGAAAACAGCAAACACAACAATGGCGTCTACAAATGGTGATTCTAGCACTAGATGTCTTTTCTAATATCAATGCCAAACAATTCCTGTCACGAAAACTAGGACATTTGTAAACGGTAAAGCATCTAGAGCCTATTATGGAAAAAACATGTCCGTGGATGAAGGCTTTAAAAGGGGATTGTAAGCAAAAATACAACGAGACAACGCTGTTACTTCACTTCGGTTGAAACACTTTCCAACGAAGCAAAATTGAGAGAGTGCATAGCTTCGAATCTTACCTTCGCCTCGTCCCATAATTTCGACAGCGAGTTTTCATGAGTCTTTCCAATAATTTTGGCAGTCTCAGATTTAAAACAGATCCTCATAACGGCCTTAAATAAGCGCAATAAAGTATGTTTGTGTCCTTCGCTCCACAAGTAACAAACAAGAAGAGCTGATAATGAAGCAGGCAGGAGGGGCTGACTTTGCAGCTATGATGGTATGCACTTTGTCGCGACAAAATTCTAGTGATTTTTTTAAAATATTTCTGTTTTCTTGTAAGTCATAATATTTCAGTTCATAACAGCTATGAAATTTATTTACGATTGAGAAATATAAAAAAGAAAGAAATTGAGAAGTGTGCAAGAAAATAATTAAGCTTAAGTCAAATTAAGATTCAACCCCAAGAATTGTTCAGCTTGGACTCTGAAATGGCTAAAGCGATTTGTTCCAGGGTTAAGGAAAAATATTACCTCCTCAACGAGAATTTTATAAGCGACAGTTTTCAGATATGTATGTTAATCAGTGTTGTGTACCGCATTTTTGGATAAATTCTTATTTCTTAGTGATCTCTCTGGTCAATGACCATTGTTTGAGAAGAGTTCCTGTATTTGATTCTTCAAAACAGGACTGTCCATTTACAAAATAAAATGCTTCCTAAATAAATCAGTTTATTTGATTTAATTTAGAAAAATCTTGGAAAAAGTCAATTGGAAAAATAAAGAGTAAGCAAAGTAAAAAATATAAGCATATAAGTTATACAGCTCTACTTAGCCATGCACAGCACCCAGTGTAAGATCGAGGTATGCTCACTGGCTACTGCATGCCTCGACAAAATATCCAACCTTTCTAGCAACATGCCAACAAGAAGCACCACGAGAAGTACAATCATGAAGAAAAGAGTTAGGAAAGTAAACTTAAATGAACTTTGTCTTCGAACAGTCTACCAGTAAATGTGTCAACGAAAACATGCTTACATTATATGACCAGCGCGTCCAGGTTGAATATTTCATTCAATTCGTTCGATCGCCCAAGGATCTACGTCTCATAACACACTGCTAGCTATTGATCGGAGCTCAGGCTTTTTGAAAGAGACCATTCAAACCACAGGAGAGGATTCCAAGCATCTACGGTGTAAACAAAGGCAGCGAACGTGAAACAAACGGTGAGATAGTGAGTGATATTTGGTTTTGGCGCGAGCCTCTCATCAGTTCAACGCGCGAACAAATGGTGGAAAAATCATATCACGTGACTACTATTGTTTGAGCCGAACAGAGCCCTGGGTGATTTTTAACGTCCCACGCAAAATTTTTAGCGTTCGGGAACCATATGTAATTGTTCCCAAAACAAAACAAAAGAGATCATAGAGAAAATCCGTGATAAGTCAAACCGTGCTTCAGTTTTTTTTTCTTTGATACGCACGGTTCTAAAATTTCCCAAAGATAAAACGGAAGAAAGCAAAGACTATCCAAAATACTGGTTGCCCTGTGACAAAACTAAAAAAATGATCACGTGAAGAACTCTCTGGTACGCTTTTGGTTTTGGAAAATTTTGTTAGCACGAACTGAAAGACCAAATAACAATGGGCTCCTGAAATTAGCTAACCTGCAACTTTTCAGCCGAATATCTCAAAAGTAGCCATTGCAATGGCCACCGAAAATTAGAAGGATTTGTATTAGCCTCCCCGCAGATGCCTTTGGGGTTCGTTTGTCACGCAAAATGAATGAATGCGTGACAAACGAACCCCAAAGGACGTCTGCGGGGAGGCTAGATTTGTGTGGGAAAAACAACTCTTGCCACCCAGTCTTTCCATACAAATCCTTGATAATTTCGAAATTTTCAAGCTGTTGTAAAATATTTCCTTAAGCATTGCGAGGTTCAAATCTCCTTTTTATTCATAACAGGCAATTGAGCCTGAAAATGCGTAACGGAAAGATTTAACAATATTTAGAAATTTAGGAGGATATTTTGTATGGAAATCCACTCAACCATGACTAGGTGGCAAGAGTTTTTTTTTTTCTCATACAGATCCTCCTAATTTTCAGCGGCCGTTGCAATCGTTACGTTTAACATATACAGCTGAAAATTTACATGTTACTTAGCAGAGGTAAGAAGGAATGAAAAATTCTAATACCGTCGACCTAAAAAGTGGTCACAGTCGCTTATGAGAGGCAGCTGTTTAGGAGAAACAAACTATAAGGCTTTGACTGAGAAAACTTTGGTGTTTTGGATAGGTGGTCGCTTATGGGGGTGGTATCTCACAGGAGGTGGTCGCACATGGAGGTTTGACTAGTCTAATACACAGCAGTTTTTAATGTTGTCACGCTGTGTGATGAAACTAAAGATGGCTGTGTTTGACAGTATGTATGTAGGTTTAAGTCCCATAGTCCCATTCCATTTTCTTGGGAGGCCCATCTGAGTTCAACAGTTCTACAACCATATATGTAAGTAGCCAACTTGTTTGCCCTCAGCGACTAGCGATTCTTGACAAAAATTGATAACTTTGATAGAATTTCTTCCTTCAACGGATTATTACAGGCTTACAATGCTTTTTTGCTTCCTGATGTGAATTAGGGCACAAGGGAGGAAACGTAAAACAATAAATTCGACAAATATTGGTCAAAAGATTCAAGGAGTTTTTCAAATAAAATATTTTGTAACTGGTGAAGAGACATCAAAACATGTATTTTAAAAAATAAAAAAGCATCACGTTCTTCTCAAAAATTTCTACAGTTGAACTTCCTGTAAGTGACCAACCAAAATGCAGAGATTTAGTGGTCGCTTACTAGTATTGACCCACATGTGTCTCTTCTGAGAAGAGAAACCGACAAATCTACTTTTTTTCTTCTTTTTAAGTTGTGATATGTGCAGTTTCATGTTGCACTAATCATTTACTAGAGGTTCTAATATTTTTATAGGGCTTTTATTGGGAAACTTTCAGTGTTTTGAATAGGTGGTCCTATATAGAGGTTCAACTGTAGTATGCTGTTGCCAATCTTACATTCTGATTTGCTTATCCACTGGCTATCAATCAGCAGATTCATGGCGAGTTGAGCAAAGCCTGCCTTACACCACTTGACACTTAGCTTGATAAATCACTTAAAAGCCCTCTTACATTTGCAAAAAACTGTTCAAATTTTAGCCCAGGATAGGGGGACTAGATAAATGTTTCACTTTTTTAGCACGATCCCCAGGGCAAGACTCACAGGATTTGTAACGCCGACTAAGCTGCCACCATTTTGAAAATGAACGAATGTTTTCTCTGCAAAGACTGGGTATAAACTGTGGTACACATTCGCTGAACCTTAACAAGGCAAAAATCGGGAGTTTTGCTCGTTTTGAGCTAGAAACGTGGATGTTGCACAGTAATTTTTGTCCAGTTTGTTTAAATTGAAAACTATAAACATTTCAGAAATGCTTTTGCCAAAGGAAGTCTTCTTTTGATCAAGTAAAAGTGAGCTGTGTCATAAAATAAAGCCAATTTGAGCCGGAACTGGCCACTAGTGCATCCCGGGGAGGGTGAGGGGGGGACAATGGTAGCTTTTCTGGAGGAATATTTTTCTTGGGTGGGGNATATGTGCAGTTTCATGTTGCACTAATCATTTACTAGAGGTTCTAATATTTTTATAGGGCTTTTATTGGGAAACTTTCAGTGTTTTGAATAGGTGGTCCTATATAGAGGTTCAACTGTAGTATGCTGTTGCCAATCTTACATTCTGATTTGCTTATCCACTGGCTATCAATCAGCAGATTCATGGCGAGTTGAGCAAAGCCTGCCTTACACCACTTGACACTTAGCTTGATAAATCACTTAAAAGCCCTCTTACATTTGCAAAAAACTGTTCAAATTTTAGCCCAGGATAGGGGGACTAGATAAATGTTTCACTTTTTTAGCACGATCCCCAGGGCAAGACTCACAGGATTTGTAACGCCGACTAAGCTGCCACCATTTTGAAAATGAACGAATGTTTTCTCTGCAAAGACTGGGTATAAACTGTGGTACACATTCGCTGAACCTTAACAAGGCAAAAATCGGGAGTTTTGCTCGTTTTGAGCTAGAAACGTGGATGTTGCACAGTAATTTTTGTCCAGTTTGTTTAAATTGAAAACTATAAACATTTCAGAAATGCTTTTGCCAAAGGAAGTCTTCTTTTGATCAAGTAAAAGTGAGCTGTGTCATAAAATAAAGCCAATTTGAGCCGGAACTGGCCACTAGTGCATCCCGGGGAGGGTGAGGGGGGGACAATGGTAGCTTTTCTGGAGGAATATTTTTCTTGGGTGGGGGAGGTTAATAAACGTCACTCACTGTCCACTTATAAGTGCGAAACTAAGATTAATCTGCTGGTAGAAATCCTGTGCTCACCATCGTACTGTTTACTTCGGGGAACTCTCATGTAAATATGACAGGAATGCTTGTTGTCTTGAAAAGGGCAAGAAATTGCAGATTTTGATTGTTCAAGATGAGTTTTCCTGTCCTTATTACATGGGAGTCACCCCTGCCCAGGAAAGGGGAAGGGGAATGGGTACTGTGAACTGTTGGTTCAAATGTTTTCCTTGTGCCTCCCTTCATATTCCTATGATAGACTGTTAAAAAGTTCACACTCAACTTGGGTTAATTTAAATATGTCATTGTAGCGAGCATATAATGATGAATGACGGCATGTCATGCAGTTTAGTCATCATCTTCCGAATCTTCGTCATCATCTAAATCTCTGCGGCTTCTAATGGATTTCTTGAGTATCGTGGTGGTACTTTTCTTGGTGGCTTGATCCGGTCGTACACTGAGATCTCCACTGTAATTTATTACACCAGATTGGGCAATTCTCCATTCCATCATCTCAGTACTGAAATCATCTTTTCCACCCAAATCATCAAAGCCTACAATGCGATCGACAAATTTCCCATCTTTAAACAACTCAATAGTCGGGAGGACACGAACGTCTCTTTTTTGGACCAGGAAACGGCAGCGCTCTGCGTTCACTTTCAGNGATGCTTGTTGTCTTGAAAAGGGCAAGAAATTGCAGATTTTGATTGTTCAAGATTAGTTTTCCTGTCCTTATTACATGTGAGTCCCCCACCTGGGAAAGGGGAAGGGGGATGGGTACCGTGAACTGTTGGTTCAAATGTTTTCCTTTTGCCTCTCTTCATATTCCTATGATAGACTGTTAAAAAGTTCACACTCAACTTGGGTTAATTTAAATATGTCTTTGTAGCGAGTATTATGATGATCTATGACGGCATGTCATGCAGTTTAGTCATCATCTTCCGAATCTTCGTCATCATCTAAATCTCTGCGGCTTCTAATGGATTTCTTCAGTATCGTGGTGGTACTTTTCTTGGTGGCTTGATCCGGTCGTACACTGAGATCTCCACTGTAATTTATTACACCAGATTGGGCAATTCTCCATTCCATCATCTCAGTACTGAAATCATCTTTTCCACCCAAATCATCAAAGCCTACAATGCGATCGACAAATTTCCCATCTTTAAACAACTCAATAGTCGGGAGGACACGAACGTCTCGTTTTTGGACCAGGAAACGGCAGCGCTCTGCGTTCACTTTCAGAAATTTTGTCTCGAGATGTTTTGGCGCCAAGATGGACAAATGCTTGTCGACGATTTTACAACGAAATGTGCTGTCACGGTAAAAGTGACACACTAGCCTTGGACTGTCCTTTGCTTCAGCAAAGAACTCTTTATCACTGGCAACTTCGTTGTATTGGCCGTGCCCTTTGTGAAGCCACTCCCGTTTCTGTTCTTCGTACTTTTTCAGCTGCTCCAACCGTTTTTCGCGAAGTTCTTCCATTTCATCAGTGGTCATACGATCGAGTTTCTCAAGCTCTGAATCCACTTGCTCCTCCACTACCTTGGTAGCTTGAAGTAAAGTGTTCTGTATGTGTTGCTCAATATTTCCTGCCATTTTTTAGCCGTCGAAGTTACCTTTTGAATGCCAAGAAAGAAAACGTTGTCAGTGTTGTTTCGTTGATTCGTTTCGTGTCGTTTCCAGGCGCCAAAATTTATTCAGAGGTCTCCTGGGAACTAGCATGCCTTCAAAGAATTGTGGTCTATTTCAAAATGGAGGACGAATTTTGATACATATTGCTTTTTCTGTTCAGATTTTAATATTCCTAGATCCGACAGAAAGAAATTCAGTGCACAAAAGTATTGTTGATTTTGCGAGGAGTAATTTTCCTGAGTAGTTTCAAATGAAGCATGGAGAACGCGGCCTGTTCTGAAAAAAACGATCGCGATAGTGAAGCCTCAAGTACAATGTCCAAGAAACAGAGGAAAAGACTTATGAAGCATCAAATGTTTTTGGAGAAAAGAAAGATCAAAAGGCAGGAAAAGCGAGAGAGAAAAAAGGAAGAAAAGAGGAAATTACGAGAAGAAAGAAAGGCTGACGGAAGTGAGGCGATGACAAATGTGGCTGTTGCATTTCCCAAGAGATTTAAATCAATGGCCTCAAAAGAAGCTTCTTCGCTTCGCATTGCTATAGACTTGAGCTTTGACGATTTGATGAGCGAACGAGATATGATGAAACTTCTAAAACAAGTGCAACGAACTTATTCTGTCAATCGCAGGGCAGAACATCCTGTTCAATTGTACCTCACAAGCTTTGGGGACAAAGTGAAAAGAAAGTTAAACGAAATCAAGTGCAATTATGAGCAATGGGACATTCATATCAAGCCCGAGCCGTATAGCGAAGTATTTACCAAAGAAGACGTGATCTATTTGACTTCAGACTCTCCTAATGTTCTAAGCGAAGTTGATGAATCCAAAGCGTACATTATTGGTGGACTCGTAGATCATAATCACCAGAAAGGCCTCTGCTACAAGCTGGCAATTGAACGGGACATTGCACATGCTCAGTTACCCATCTCCGAGTTTGTCAAACTAAACTCCAGGAAAGTGCTTGTGGTTAATCATGTGTTTGAGATTTTGTTACGTTTTACTGAATCTAAAGACTGGAAACATGCTTTCTATAAAGTTCTTCCTGCGAGGAAAATTGAGCCAGACAGCAATAAAAACCAGGAAGAGATAGGTGGCAGTGAAGACTTCAAAAGAGATAGTGAGGAATCGGACAAGACCAAAGAAGAAGAAGTAACATGCTCCTAACAGATAAACCGAGATGAAAGAAATGAAACTTAATGTGAATCTGGTTAATAACAGAGTAGTATGGTTGTGTTTGAGTTCTAGAGTAAGTGGATTGATCTGACAATTTTATTGTAATGATCCCCCATGGAACAAAGCTTTTCTGCAGACATGCACTATTTTTATGGTAGAGTCAAAAATTATATTTCAGGTTTGCCTCTTACCTCCCTTTCACATTCAGAAAAATCAAGATCCAACTTTCCTAAAGCATTTCATAACCGTATTATTGTAATTTGGGCAATTTTGCTCTTAAAACAGGCTAGCCTGAATTTCAGCCACCTCCTCAGCTCGCTAGGTCACTCAGCCCCTCTCTCCCTGAGTGACTTAGTGGGCAGAGAAGGCTGCTAAAATTCAGGCTAAATTCATGCCTTATGACATCAGGTAATAAGGCCATTGTAAAAGGGAAGAGTTGATAATGTAAAATTAAACTTACTCTTACTATACGAGTTAAATGTCTCAGTTTGGTAAAATTAACCCATTCACCACTGGAGATTTTGCCAAAAAACACGTTTTGAAGGTAGTCGAGTGGTTTTCTGGTCACCATGGTGCTATTAGAGAGATTAAGATTCTCGTTTATACCAAACGGCAATCACCAGATTCAAGTTGAGACTTTCTCAGAATAGAAAATAAGCAGATAAAAACTGTCCAGAACAATTCTTATGTATAAAACTGGCGTGAAACTACTTTTTTTTTAGTTGAAGTAATAAACAGTTAAGGACAATTAAGGGAAAAACTTGGTCACGTGGTAAAAATTCACATTTGCCATTTGGCATTAACGTGAATCTTAATCTCTCTATTAAGAGCTAAAACTTACAACAAAGTTGTTTACGGGTCATACGCTTCGCAGCCTTTGGATCTAGAAGTTCAGGCATGCACAGGAAGCAAAATGTTGAGATAGTTTTTGGGTTTAAAGGTGGCAAAGCAGTCTTGACTTTTACTTTTCGCTTCCTCTCCTCCCCCTTTTTTTTCTCTTTTCTTGCCTCATTTTTTTCTGTTGCTGGGCATTTAGTAGGCTTCATTTTGGTGGGAAAGGTTTTTACGAGAGCTAGATCTTAGGATTAGATGAAAGGAAAGGTAGGTGGGTAGAGGAACAAGATTTTCATGGAAATTTTCAGGTTAAAGTTACATGCCTGGTTTTTTGCCTTTTCCTCCAGTGCCCTTGACTGAATTGTTCTCATTCTGGTATAGTTTTAAAGAGATCTCTTCACTCTGCACAAGTTAGCAGACAAAGTTGTCCTTGACCATTAAAACTGATGATGTCACAAGCAATAGAAAGCATGTGGGCTGGCACAGCAGTGATGGGGGGCTCAGGGGCGAATGGCAGGGGTGGATCCAGGATTTTTTTTAGGAGGGGGTGCACTCGTCTCTTGCTCTACTTCAACACCAATAAACCACATCGTTTTTTTTTTGCAGAATACCAGTTGCATTAGAAAACAGGTTATTATAAAAATCGCTATTACAATATCTTAAATGATTACTTGTCTCATGAGTTGTCTACTAGAACATAGAAGATGCTTGGCTTTCATCATTCCACATGACACAACAGCCATTTTCACATTACAGATGAATTGTCCATCTCCGACAAAAGTCCTCAAAGTGCATCTGGATAGATAGTCTGCTACACAGCCATTTGTTGTGCTGTCATGCAGTGCTCCTCACCACAAATTAAACATTACATGACGACACAAAGAACAGCTGTGTAGCAGACTACAGATAGATGGATGAACAAATTGTCTAACCCAAACACCATGCTGTTTTTACATTAAGACAGATTATCGATCTGACAAGGATTATCAGAGAAATAACCCTTTTGAGATGGATTATACACCTCCAGCATGAAAACGGCCAATGTATGGTGGTCGCAAACATGCAGCTAGATCAAGAGGTTCGACAGACGCATAAATTCAAGGAACTTCAAAGAGTGATTTAGTAAAAGAGGGTGCTAGCTTAATTGTCGCCCGGTTAGCTCAGTTGGGAGAGCGCCGGTCTGCTGTGCGGGAGGCCGTAGGTTCAAACCCCGGCCGGTCCAACACTCAGGGTCTTTAAATAACTGAGGAGAAAGTGCTGCCTTTGTAATAACATCTGCAAATGGTTAGACTTTCTAGTCTTCTCGGATAAGGACGATAAACCGTAGGCCCCGTCTCACAAGCCCTTGCACATGTAATAAATCTGCAGGACGTTAAAGAACCCACACACTCTTCGTAAAGAGTAGGGCACTTAGTGCCCGGTGTAGTGGTCTATCTCACTTTCACACTTATGTATGGGGGCATCATCACTCATTCCTTCAGTATTTGTAAACTGCACCTTAAGCAGTCTGGCAAAGTCCCCCAACCAGTGTTGTAAATTATCCCTGAAAAGCCCTGAGGGGAGTGGATAATAAGATATTTACAATTACAATTATTTACAAAATTAATAAAACAGGCAAGGGATGGATTACTAAAGTGACTGGCAAAACAGCATTTTTTAAACAGGTGGAAACTTTTCTTCATGAACCATAGGATAGAAACTACTTATTAAAGTAATTTTTCTTTCTTTCTTGCTTTTTAACAAACTTCAAAAGTTTACATAAAAACAAAGAAAAATTTGTAACTCAATAATCTCTGTGAAAGGTTTGAACCCAGGAGTCATTTCAAAAGTATGTTGAGTTTGATCGTCCGGGTGAATGTAGTCCTGAATAGGACTGTTGTTGTTGACAGTAGTCACTGTCAACAACAACAGTCCTATTCAGGACTACGTTCACCCGGATGATCAAACTCAACCTACTTTTCAATAATCTCTGTTTTTAAATGAGTGAAATCATCCAAAGGGATTACTGAACTGAGGTACTTGCAAAAACGAGGTTCTTTGTGTTACCTACTGTAATTTACACATCAGTTGAATGTGAATACTGAGTTCTGCTTGACAAATCTAACAGCTTAAAATGAGGTTCTTTGTGTTACAGCTTAAGTATGTTAAGCTGGCTTCCAATGTCTTCAAAATGTTTTCACTCACGTGTGAAGTTACTAATGTCTGTTGCAAGCTGATGGCTGTGGTAAGCAAGTATCACAAAACAAGCACATTCACTGATAACATGTCACTCCTGTGTGTAAGTTCATGCCGCTTACAGTGCGATGACTGGCTGAAGCCCTTATTACAATAACTGCATTCATAAGGTTGTACTCCTGAGTGAATTTGTTCATGCCTTTTAAGCTGTGTTGATGATGTAAAACACTTATCACAATATTTGCACTGATTAGGCTTCTCTCCTGTGTGCATACGTTCGTGCTGCTTGCAATATGATGGGTCAGCAAAGCATTTGTTACAATACTTGCACGGATATGGTTTCTCTCCTGTGTGTGTCAGTTCATGCCGTTTACAATCTGATGTTCTAACAAAGCATTTATGACAATACTTGCACTGATGAAGTTTCCCTGAGCTGAAACCAGTAATACCGGTATGCGTCAATTCATGTTGTTTACAATTTGATTGACGGGAAAAGCATCTCTCACAATGCTTGCACTGGAAAGGTTTTTCTCCTGTGTGTGAACGTTCATGCTCCTTGATATTTGAAGAATCACAGAATCGCTTATCACAATATTTGCACTGAAAAGGTTTCTCTCCTGTGTGTGTAAGTTCATGCTGCTTACAGCGCCATGACTGGCTAAAGCACTTATTACAATAACTGCACTGAAAAGGTTTCACTCCCGTGTGGATAAGTTCATGTCGCTTACAGTGTGATGATGTGTAAAAGCGCTTGTCACAATACTTGCATGGATAAGGTCTCTCTCC